CGTAAAAAGTAAGTGACTCAGGAACAAAAGAAACAGTGGGCTGTAATGCTTATATCACTAAATACGTCAATACGGACACTCATTTTTATGAATAACCGATATTTTATTTAATTGTTGTTTTTGCCTTATGATATCAGGTAATGAGAAATTATTAAACATCACTAATTCCAGAAATAAGGGTTAGTTGAAGCAATTAAATTAGTTAAGTAAATGTGTCATCCCGATAAACATTGATACAAAAAATCGAATAAAAGAGTTCTCCAATTTTCGTGAATTTAAAAATTGTAGGAACTGGATTAAAAATTTGAAAATATTTTTGACGCTTTATTTGACTGATTTGTGAATATGTTTGCACGAACATGACCATTTTTACACTCTTATAGAGTCAATTTTAGATATTCTACATAAAGATCGGACTGTTACTTTTATTACGACACCCTCCATCATCTGTATGAATAATATTTAATCATACACTGGATACAAGATTCGAAAAAGCTAATGAAATCCTATTCGATAGCAATCTAGCAACTTTTTGAGGGTATAAAATCTGAATGAAAAAAAAAACTCATTTTTTTACGCCAGCCATTTACGTATCAACGCAAAAATTCGTATGTCACCGAAACTTTTATTTGTTTATCAAATCCAAAATATTTCTACAGATAATGAAATTAATAGTATTTCAAGATCAATCGTTCATTCATTACAAATTAATCAATTTTTGATCCAAAAGACGCACGTAAATAGGAACACCAACCTTGGAGTATGATAGCCCTTGAAGGATTGACGATGCAATAATTAGGACAACGGATATGATTGACAATGCTGCAAAAATATATATCCATTTTTTCAAAGATTTTTGCGAAATCTTATCAGTTGATGATGACGAATTGGTTGGAAATGGCGATGGTTGTGACCTGCTGTATGTATTCTGATCGAAGGGCTGCAAACGTCGAGGAGGAGGAAGATCACGCTCAGTATTGGATTTATTTATAGATGCCATTTTTAGGTATGGTCCAGTTTGACTGTTGGGACGAGAAATACTGACCACTGTAAAAGTTTGGAAAGAAAAGTGAATGTTCAAAATTTCACGACAAACTTCAAACTGCCGTTTGAATTCGTCTAATGGACGAATTATCTATAAAAAAAAATTTGCTTTCAATAAGATTATATATTATAAATTACGTTTATAAACTGTTCACATTTTTCTAATTGTATGAAGGAATTAAATATAAAATAATCTGTAAATGGATCCGAGCGTACGAATGTAAAATTCTTTGGATATCATGTAAAAAATCATATCCGAAAAATTCGCCACAAGAAATTTCGCCGTAGGAAATTTTGCCGCGTAGGAAAACACGCCGCTTGAAAAATCACCGCAAGAGCATTCTTATGTAAAACAAGTATTTGTGATGGCATGAAAAATAGCCGCAAGAGCATTTTGTTATAAAACATGTATTTGTGATAAAAACAGTAAAGTTCGAGTAAGCTCTTGAATATCGAATCATTTTTTTTTATATGAAAAAGGTACCTCAAAAAACTGTTTTTATCACAAATACTTTATTTACAGCAAAATGCTTTTGCGGTGATTTTTCCTATGCGCCGAAAATTTCTTGCTGCGAATTTACTTAGACCCGTAGAAAACACCTTACCTTCCGATCTATTCTCATATCGCATGGCACATTCATAAGCGTTACCATCATCTTCGGCTTGCCACATTTTTTTGTTACTTATCCAAATAAATTCCTAAAACTGCCTTGAAACAGATTTTAATTTGACATGAAATTATACTCTGGCTGTTAACCGTCAACTGAATGTAGGATATGCTTTCACCGTTGCTTTAAATACTTGTGATCCTAGAAAGCAAAACAAAAGGGGGGGGGGGGGGGGGGTGCAAAAAACGTGTAAGAAAAGTCATGTATTTATGTCTCATTTTGATACGCACATTGACTCAATTTAAAGTCGATTAGATAACCCCGATTGGAATAATATAACTTATGAATGATCTTCAATCAGAATATAACCAAGGTGATGATGTCCACCTCTCGCAAATATTTAACTGAATATAAATATTTTTTTTCTATAATTCTTGCTTTTATTTGGAGGAAAGATCATTTAATTTTTTATGTGATGACATTTATAAATTATTAAAAGGTTGAATTCTACTTTGTAACCCAACACGTCATGTTATTAATGTCTAAGTCAGCAACCAACTCACCCAGTATTACGTTGTAAGCTTTTGTTACATATCAACGATCTCAAGAATATAATTACTTGTACTCTAATTTTCCTTTAATATTTTATCGTCTTTTCAATCCTTCTTTGCTATGGTCAAAACAGGTCATGATATTGCCATGCACGATGAATCACATTGGGAAATGATAATTTGTAGACAAAAATGGGTCAAGGTTATTTACAACTCGAGGGCATAGTTGGATTTATTTTTGATAAGGGTATTGTGATAATTATGTTGCATGCTGCCTCTTAACAGTTGACTATCTTTATGCAGATATACCCGAGTTTAATTTTGCATTTCATTGTCGTATAGTCTGCATATAGCACAAATTATATAGAACAAAAAGGAACCACTATCATCACCCGCAAAATTGCGTGTTATTACTGATTACTTCCGACTCAACTAAAGTACTCGCTTTCTATTTTTTGTGATGATATTATTTATCTATGCCACGAGTGATTATATTTTTTTAGGCTAGAGAGGCTAAGTATAATATATAGAGATATCTGCTGTAAAAATTGTCACAATAAATAAATATCAATGAAAATTGAATGTGTGAAATCCGAGTGTAATTTTCACCAAAATTTCAAAAACAAAGAAAACGTTTATTGAAAATTGCATTTGAAATACATTTATAAATGTTTTAAAACTAATTTACTACGCACGCGTTTGTCTTGAAAATTCAATAACATACCAAATATATGATATGAATTGACTGTTTTCATTGGTATGAATAGTTTAGGTTTAAAGGTACAATTACTCATATATTGCTTTAAAATTTGTAACGTAAAATGTAATTTCTTTAATAAACATGTCGAAATTATCCAGGCTTATCGATGGTATAAAATCGCAATTTCTCTTTGTTGGTTATACAGACTATGAACAGAGTATAAAGTGCATATTATTTTCGAAATACTGTCTGAACATCTAAAATATTATGTATTTGAAGGATATTTTAGAATTTAAACTACAACCTATCATTATTTTATTATGAATTAGTTTCAAATAACTTTTTTTCAATATAAGTACATGATCAACTATACCGTCTAAAACCCCAAACTAGTTATATCCATAAAAATAGTGAATTTGTATTAATATTTTTTGAACACTCTACTTTTAAGATTCATTTTACACTCCCAACATAACACATTTTACACAATGACCATTGATACAATATTGGATAAATTTTTAGACAAGATATCACCATATTTTGAACTTAGCCTATTTGAAAGAAATTGAAACAGGGAGTAATATACGTAAAACGAAGCCTTACATTTGAATGGACATGAATGTGCATTTCCTGAAACTTTAGTTGACTCAACTTTGCTTCAACTCAAATTAAATCTCAGGTACATTGCCCTATTTAATTAGAGATTATAATAAATTAGTTACGGAGTCAAAACAGTCATGCGGTGGTAATTTTTTTTTTTGTGAATGAAAAAATGTAAACGCAATAAATAACATGAAGAAATAAAATGCACTTCACATGTCCATCAAAGCTATTTTGAGATTGATTCTTAAAAAAACAAGAATTCACATCTTCGGGTACAAATTTATACCGACAGCAAACTTGGATTCTAATAATTTAAAAAATAAAAATAAAAAAAAATAACTAGTTTTATGTATCCCTTCCGTGGCCCTCTATTTTGTGAATTAATTCATTTTATATTTTTTGTTCCTAAACTTGGAATTAGCGATGAAGTAAAGCGTTTTAAGTACCATATAGTCTCAATATGAAAATATTAATTAAACACTTACTTTTGTGTTGCTTATTACAAAATGGAATTTGCAAACAGTTGCATAAGAAGGTTGGCTAAACTGCACAGCTTTGTATTGCAATTTGAAGTTTCCGTTTGTTCTGGTATTTTGTATCAGTTCGGTAAAATCACCTTTGTAGCGTTGGGTTTCAACCTGAATAAACATAAACTTAAATGAAAAAGGATTAGGCTACTGCAAATAGAGAGTTTTTATAAACTATCAACTAAAGATTGCAGTCATTTAATACTGTTACAATGTACAAAACTTTAATTCGATTTGCCTTTTCAAATTTGACGAGTTCCTGTATTTTTTATCTGATATATCTGCTATAACAATAATATTTGAAAAAATTACTTGTTTTAAAGTAAATATTACCCAAAGTTAGGAATCAAACTTACTTTAATATAGAAGTATTGACTGAAAGAATTTTCGTTTGATATAGCAGTAACCAGTATAAAAGGCTGTGATGCTTTCATGCGAACTATTGTATGTTCCCAATACGTTCTGTAAACATTGGGGTTGGAAATGTAGAAAATAAGTAAGTAAATGAGTCATTAAATAAATGTTTTTCGTTATTTAAATTTAAAATTTAATGACTCATCTATGTAGTCTACTAGCCTATCCTCATACTCACATATTGGTTCGGTTCATTTAGAATTATTAATTTGTTGTAGAACTTTTTAAAGAATGCACCGTGTTCGTTGACAAGAAACTCGAAGGCCAAAAATCACAATCAGGCAGTAAAATAACTCTCATCATATAGCAAAATTGTGAAAAAATTGGCTTTGGTATAACTAATAACAATTTGGACATGAATGTTAGTGTTATTGAAAAGATAAAAGCTATTGATCTACCTGTTGTAATATTAGTTTGTTAGGAACAATAACAAAAAGGACATGAATAACAACGCTTCCACAAAATAATGCATAGGGTGCAAAAATATAGTCATGTCGAAGTCAAATATTTGCATGTAAATCAAATACAAAATTTAAAATCAAGTGCATTGTACTCACTCGTTGCGATAAATTCTGTTGTAATACAGATGACTCTGTGATATTTTGGAATTACCAAAACTAATCTGAAAAAATAAAAAAAATTCTACATTATAAGCAAATTACTTATAAGTATTAACTACAGATATAGTGATACTCAGAGTTTAGATTGGTTAATTGCAAAATCATGTTTTGATGTTATGTTAGCAATATTTTAATAAGAAAGATTGTATGTGAATTTTATTTTAAGATTGTATATAGAAAACTGGCACAATGTAATCGTGGAATGAATTATCGAAGCTTGTTGTATATTTCTGGTATGAATTTGCTCGAAAAATGTCATGTATTTTCATGTGACTGAATTGTACATATTTTGATTGACTCAGCATTCTCCTTTATTAAATAAACTCGATACAAACTAATTTTTACCCTATTGCCATATGAGCTGTACATTTTGCGGTCTTGTATTATGTTGACGTTGTTTCCAGTATAGTTATACGTGTACCAGTTTGGTACGTTAGCTCTTATTTCTGCAGAATTCTTCTCTAGAGCCTTTAGCACCAATTTGCTTCGTTGAGACAACATTGTTTTGAATTTTCCTGTAAAATCAATCATAAAAAAGTTTGATTTTTTGTAGAAATCAAATGTTGTCGATTTTAAAATTTTATCTTTCTTCGAGAAATTACTCTCGATGGAGCTAAGGTAGAAGAAAATCTGCAGTGCGATGAGTCAACTGTATTATAAACATTTATGCACATGCATGATAGTAGCGATACATTTGATGCTTGGGTAGGGTGGATTCATGCTAGCATAGTTAGAATGTGACCAATAGACTGAATGTGAATGAATGTGACCAATTATACAGAATCACTTTGTTTTTGCGTACAATTAACGTCTAGTTACTATTAATTCGGAAATTTAAAATGCTACATGCGAAGCTTATATATATACGCATACGTACATATTTATACTAATATAACACTTCTGCCCAAACGTGCATACACAGACATTCAAAAATATATTTAATTTTTTTTTATACCCTACGCAATAAGACGTTGCAATAAGAAGTCGGTAAATTTTGATAGCTATCAGTCATCGTAATATAAATAATCGTTTTTCGATCTCGTACCCGGATAAACTTTCAAAGGATATCTCTCCTCAAACATCTTTTGTAGATTTCCATCATTGTTTTGCAAGAAATGATTTGTTGTTTTGTAACGAAAACTCGCTTTTTCCTTCATAGACATGGTTGGTGTGTTGGATGGTACGTGCCAGACCATGACGTCGTTTGCCTGAATTTAAAGTGATAAAAAAACACTATGCAAACTATTTATGATTACTGCTCTTACTATTATTTCAAACATTAGCTAACTTCAATCAAATAAACTTTAGTTTTAGTCTTTCAAATTATGCCCTCGCACCCAGCATGTGGGCCACCGAAAGGTTCATTGAGAATTCCGATCAAATGCATTAACTTGATTCCATACGCAATGTCTACATAAATTTCACATAAATTAACTTTGATTTCGTTTCTTTGAATCCTTCGAATTTTTTTTTTGGATTTTTTAAAACACGTGTGTACATCTATAAATATTTCATACGGTCAAATGTTAAATAAGCGAAATGAATTATTCTTACGTTCAAAGAGTAGTAAACGGAATTTTTGTAATCATCTTCCGTGCATTTTCTAACGTCACCGAAAACTTTCTTGTTTTCCCAGTTTGTTTTCTCTGACAACATACAATAGTACATAAAATAATATTTGAAATTTTCCATCTAATCAACTTTGAGTAATGCTAACGAGTTTAATTTGGAATGTGTTGAGTTGCATATTTGATCGAAGATTTCGAATGTCATGCGTTCGTTGATTTAGGGTACAAAATGTCACATCTGTAACAGTAAAGATGGGAAATTCATGACGAGGAACTGTTTTGTTTTGTACAAAATAATAGTTGCAATGATCAAAAATTTAGATTTAACAGTAAAAACTTTCTAACAATATCAAACTTTAAATAAAACAGCATTTTACAATGATATGGCTTTTTATTAGAAGAAAATACAATAAGTACCTGTCGAGGCAATATACTTTTCTGGTACGTAATTTGTCCATCTATCTTTTGCATCACACTTTTGGGTAATATCCGATTCGTGTACGCTAGCTACAAGTGTCCAGCCACCCCCGTCTGTTTGCATATCGCAGAATGTCTAAAAGAAACGAACCTTAAATAATGAAGTAATCAATTAACAGTAATAAGTCATTGAAAAGAAGGAAATCATTAACATTTGTCAGGGTAAATATATTTTTTGCAAGAATCTGCAGCTATCGTTCTGTTGGGTAACCCTGAGTCATTAGGTACTATACTAACTAAGTCATTTTGAGTCACGTTATCTCATTCACAGTCATTTAATATATTATGTTAACTGATTTCAATTTGTTGGCTTGTAAACATTGCAAAAGTTATTATTTTTTCAACCTGAAATCGGATTTCAAAAGCTGAGTCAGACTTAGATAAGACTTGGATGGAATTTATTACTCACTGCACGTTCATGTGGCAGGAAAAATATATCACTAGAACTCAGTTGACATAATCATTATTAATAAACTGTTTTGATTTTTAGTCAAATAGCTTACCGCAAATTGCATAAAATCATTCTCCGGTTTTATGGAATAAATGCCATCAATCTTGATTCCAAGTTGCTTTAGGTCGTAACATGATTTGGATGAATGAGAAACTCGCTGATGGTTATTGATATTCAATGGATTTGAGGAGTTGCTCTGATTAGAAATTAAATGCCGAAGTATACCATATCTATTATTAATATTAACATAAACGTTCGCACCTTCAAACAATATATATTACTTTGTCGCTTGAACATATACATAGTTGAGTTTGCTGTTGAAATTTTGGCATAAAGTTTGATATCCCGAATGTTAAATTCACATATCGTAACCAATATTCAAGTTTTTAGCGATTTGGATTAGCACATATATTGTTTTTTACCTGAACTCGACTGCTATTTAAATAAAATGTTTTGCGTCTTACTTCAGCATAAGCAAAATGTATATTGAATTTTGTTACAAATATGCCTGATTCGGAATTCATCATGTATTTTATTGTGTATTTAGCCAATGATGGCCAATATGCTTAAGAATAGGCTTATTTTTTAGTTATTGTTTTCATTATCTTACCTTTGTTAATGATATATTCAGTTGAAATACAACGGTAGCCAACAAAGCAGTAGTAATCAATCCAAACCCGATCAAAAGTATCAATATCGCTCTCATGTTTGGAATTTTGTTCAATGATGGATCCTGTTGATCGTCTATTGTACGTTTCGGATCAGCATAACTAACTGAGGGAATTGGCCTTGAAGACATTGCGACTGAAACAATAAGTATTAACCAAATATAAATGCAGAAAGGTATGGGAGCGAAAAATAAAACAGATAACACAATTCTTTGGTAAAAGTTTAAGACCAATTATTTTCTTTATTATGGAACAACTTAAACCTCACATATAAAAAAATCTACTATTTTTGTAAATGAAAAATGCTGATGATTTTCAATTTGCAATCAACTCATTTGTATGGCATAAATTGACGTATTATTTAGTATGTACAAAAAGTGCCGATTCACCTTCATCATTCTCATATCTCATTGTATGCTCATATGGATTTTCATAGTTTTCGTCGTTGACGTGTCGCTGCATTTTTTGTCCTCTCTAAGATAGATTCAGTAATGAAATATACTATTTATCTGATTGAAAAATAAACAGGGTAGTTTTAGTATATTTTATAATGGCTTTTAAAAAAAATATTAAGATTAGCGTACGATATTTAAATGAATCTTGCTTGAGACGGTACCTTGGGTTAGCTTTCGAAAGTCAGCAATCCCAAAAAATTAGAACCACCCTAATTAACACTAGGCAAATGCGTTTAAATTACTGTATCAAATTGTATTCTGAAAATATAATTTTGTTTGACATTGAATCTTTTACAGATATATAATCATTCATCGTATAATTTCATCTAATATATTCAAGTCACTATTGCCGATCAGCATTAGATTTCTAATTCTCATTTTACCCAACTTGTTCTGGTATGCTTTAATATACAAACGTTTTATTGTTTATTTAAAGTAAGTATGCTTTTCCTAAAGAGAGAGACTAAACTGAAGATAACAATATAATGTTCAGTATGATATAGCAATACCAACACTTATTGTTTTACATTCAAGAGATAACTTTGCCCACGTCAGTTCTACTTCCTCGAAAATAATGTAAGCCGTACTTATTTTGATAATGGCACGATGTGTGTGTTTCAACTATTAAGGGATGATCTTATCGTAACGATATCCTAATCAATTTCATCATAAATAGAATTATATATTTTTTGTAATCTATACTTAAGGAACCTATTTAGCTTCCTTTGTGACTTCTTTTGTTTCGTTGTTGTTGTATTCTATTTCATTTTATTTTGATTCTTCATTCGCTGCTGAGTTACACTTCATGATTTACACAAACATATTAATATTGTACATCTCGTGTTTTGAATTGCATTGATTGGGGAGAGAATGAGATTTGCATTTAAGATTAGGAATTGGCAGTTGTTGTGAAGCAAATCATACTTGAGCCAATATTTCGTGTTTTAGCAAAGTTGGTTACGGATATCGTGATTTTTTACTGCAGTATCTCATTACGAGTATTTTGCTTTAGATTTTAAAGCAAATTGGCAGTTTTTTTCGTTAGTTTTTAATTATCCTTGAACAGAAATAAACGAAACAGTGTACAACTTTATATAATATACCGTTTCCTTCAAACGCGCGTTTCTGCCTTAGTATTTGTAATTTTACAAATGTTTGTAATTTTTATGAAAACGATTCTGCAATATCAAATCGAAAGTTGCACATCCCTAACGGCAAGGCTTCATCTGAGCACAAAATTTGCTGACAATATCGACGAACAATCCTGTTCCACTTAATCAATATATTCAACTTATTGTAAGGAATGTGATGTATGGTGCCTTTATATTCATCAGAGAAAGCAGAACCGGGCCAAAGACACAAATCAGTAATCACCTAAATTAGTGAAATACCATTTAAAAAGATTTTAATTTTTTGCTCAGTGTTAAGTAGGCTATTTAGACAGAAGTTATCGCCAGAAGTTTAGGTAAAATGACAAAGTTAAACTTGAAAATGAGCATAGATTCGTGCAAAAATTACCTTGAGCCAACTAAAATGACTATGTGCATTTACAGAATATTTTAATCTCTCTTCAGTTGGTGTCATGGTCTGATTCTATTTCATGGTTACTAACTTTTGCGTTTTGAACAATACCCAAATAAAGATCGTTCAAAAACTCTTGTATAGCGGAAGTATTTAATATTATTTGAGGAAGTGTTTAAGATTCCCCGAGAATATTACGCCAGGCATACAATTACCTATATATACGTATATATATATATACCTATATATACCTCGTATACCAAACAATAACAGCGGTATGATAATATATTGAAACGTATCAGCTATGAATATTTTTGAGCACAGTAAGCATTAAAAAATTGAACACAACCCGAGTACAGATTGCACCATCAAATAAATTTATTCTCACTCAAAATTTTTTTCCTCTAATAAATATAATATTATATTGTAACGATGATTTTAATTCACGTTTCGGTTTGGTGACTTCCATCATATGAAGCAAGAAACCGATATAGTGTCTTATTCTTTGTAAAACATTATTATTTTATGCTAAATACTAGAAGTTAGCAGTTGTTTCTGAGACTTTGAAATTTTATTGGCACAAATTCACTTTATAGGAACAAGAAGAAAAAAATAAACAATTCTATATCTACTTTGTGAAACTTCACTTTAGAATGCTTGCAAATAAATCATTGGCTTCGTTACTTTGTTATGAGAATTAAGTTTAGATATTCCTGTTGCAGTGTGCGAATCTTTATTTTATATTTCGTCGTTATTATAGTATAGTTCTTTGTTGCTATCACTGATTGTCGTCAAGCGACAACGGACTGTATCCGTCTCACCGCATCAATTACTTTCTGTTACGAGTATTAGACGGTAGTCCGATTAAGTTAAGACTATACAATTGACTCAATGTAATTATGTTCTTGTGTGTAAGTTTAGTTGTGTTTCCAGTTTCAGCCATAACAGTATTTTCATACATCTGTCTGCTAGCACAAGCAATGTGTTTCTGCATTTTGAATATAATTTTAACATAAACTGGGGACACTTATATTTTTACATTTATATATATTTCATCATTTATCCATGAGATAACTTTAAAATCATGCATGAAAGCTCTTCACTAAAAGGATAAAGGTATTCAAAATGAAACATAAGAAAATAACTAATGGAAGTAGATGTGAGATATAAAACTTAGCTTATGTAAAACTTATGTGAAATGAAATAATGAGAGTAAATATAAAACTTATGAACAATTTATCACCGATGTAGTCATAGTTGCATATGAATTAATTTTGTAACAAATATATCAGTAGATGGCTGGTCCGATAAAAATGTTGGCTGTGTATGGGGAAACAGCTTAAAAGAAAGAACTTCATGAAGGGCTTGTAATTTGAAATAAACTTGGATGAATTTTTGAGTAAGTATGCTTTTAGTAAGTTAGCAATCAATTAAATTATAATTTCATTTTGACCAAACCAGTTAATGAAGATAATTATTTTCTGGTTTTTATAAATCCGTCAGTATGTAAAGAAATAAGTTGACGCTCTGACAAAAGAAATCAGAAAATATAGCAAAGAAAAGGCACACGAAAAATGTAAAATACATGGGAAAATTCACTGAAACTAAATAGAAGTTGTAGTATAGATATACCATTATTATTGTTTATACTGATTTTATCAGTATTCTACTAGCAAAGTGAAATTCGTCAGTAGCGTGGGCTAATACTTTCGCTAATATTTACCTCTTTTAATTTTTAAAACAAAATCAATCTGTTTTACCATACTAAAATTTCATACACGTTATTAAACAATTTGATGAGCAAAGCAATATGACAATATATACACAAACTGACAGAAGTTAGTAATAAAAAGATTGAATGTTTATTGTCGATATATTACATTTATATATGCATATATATGGTTTTTGATAAACAATGATAAAAGCTTAAATATGATCTACTAGGGCTCAGAATTACGAAAAAATAAAGATATCGATAGCAAAAAAATGAACTTTCAAGATGAAAACGTTTGACTTGTTATCCATTACGAAATCTTTATGTGTGACTATATGTCTCAACGATAAAAAATCAATATCGTAGAAGAGATGTCGTTTTGTGAATGGGCATTCCCACTAGCACTATCCGGATGGATCACGTCATTCTTTTTTCCCGCCCAACCTAATGTATAAGAATAAAAAATACTGATGATGTTGGTCAGTTTAATATTCATAGGTGTGTATAGTTTTAGCAAAAACTATTCATATATTCAGTGGAAATTTGTAATACAGGCAATTTGCCTTCTACCAATATGATATTACATCAGAGCTTAATTTGCATATTTTATTTTTATAAGTCATTTATTCGCTTAGACGTGTATTAATTTCAAGGCGTAATAAAAAACATGCATCTGACGCAAAGAAAATTGTTTTTAATTAGAAAATATCATTTCTTGTTAAGATCAGGACTTCCGGTTCACAATGTTGAAACTATCGTGTGCTTTTTGGTTAAACTTGTATTGAAAGAGTTGTTCCATAATAACTTGAAATAAAAAGCGTTACATCGAATATCACTCATTTTATAATGTTTTTACATATTATTTATAGTAACTAAATACAGGAAACCACTAACAAACCTGCGAAGTCGCTACAGGTTCCAAAATCTTCGATATAATCAGAAATTCCACCAATGCAAACATATTGTGGACTGTATGACTTTATTCTGAACAAGTATAGGTTATTACCAAATGTGAAATAATTTCAAAATTTATTTAAAACAAAGTTTTGAAGTGGAAACTAGATTGCAAATGTTGTATATACTCACTTGAATCCAGGGCACATGGCATTGGGATATCCTGAAGAATTGTAAGGTCTAAATTGCAAATATCCGGGCACAACCGACATTTTGTAGTTTGGTGGAATCATTCGAACTATCTCGCTTGTGTTACCTTTATCGAAGATGACCGGTACTATTAGTCCATCAATACCCGTATTTTCTATAACGACAACAAATATATATTTAAAATTATATTTAAAATATATATTCAATATGCCCCAATTACTTACTACAAACAAAACCCCGCTAGGAGGTCATAAATATGAATGAAATATGAAATTGCTATTTAAACTAAAATCCTCTACAGTGGTGCAACCATCCGACCCCATCATCTCATATTATAGTTTAGTTTTGTAAAAGTTTGAGATCACTCATAAGTTGTATATTTTGTTAGGATTTAATATGTAAATATTATCTGAATACTATCCTGTAACTTACTTACCATTGAAAAGGTTTGGAATACCAGAAACAGCGAGTAGAATTATATTTGCGACTTCATCAATTTGTGACATTGTTATGTAATTCCCTGGAGTACTGCAAGAGTATTAAATAAATATGTGATGTATAAATAATAGCCGTGATGTAATTTTTCTTATTGTATACGATTAGGTTTATTTTTATTATTGAAAGTACACAAAACTTTGGGAAAAAAGATATGAAATATCGTATATGAGTTGTATTTTGATTAGTATTATGCTCACCTCGTCAAAAGCACGTAACCCATCAGAACGTTGGTAGGAGCTCCATATACTCGAATAAAATTGTATGTTCCACTTCTCTGATGCGAAAATGTACTAGGCTTTACAGAATGCCACTCCTAAAAAAGAACCAATTTTACATTTCATTTTAGAGTTTAGTTCTAATGGCCTTCAAAGTACAGCATTTGATTATTCAGTGTTACCCTGCAATCTATTTTAGTTAGGAATAAATATCAAATGAATATTTATATCGTTTTTTTTTACTTTTTTCGCGCCCGCTTACCCGAATCAATCTAACATGCTCGCGCTCAAGATATACAATAAGCAACAAATATTCTTAAATATAAATATATTATTTACATACATTAGTATTGCTTATGATGAAGTGCAATTCACAAATGGTGACGTTATCTCGGTTGTAAAAATGTACAGCTTTATACTGCAAAAAGAAATTCCCTTCAGTCACGTTGCTTTCATAAACATTGATGATGTCTTCAAAAAATCGATTAGAATTCACCTGGATAAAATAAAAATTCTATATTAAACTATACTGAGCCTATCATATATCATTTAACAGTGAAGGGCCAATAAAAATGAATAATAAAACTCACAGGGAAATATTCTGATAACAAAAGCATGGCAATAATATATGAATGAATATGAATAAATGAATTTTATAATTATAAGTTAAATTAGACACAGTTTAGAAAATGATTGTGGCTACAATTTATTTTGAATATCTAGACATTTACCTCGTGATATTAGAAAAAACAGACACTTACACGAGTCTCAAATCGATCACTGTATCCATTATCATTATGTATAGCAGTTATCATAATAAATGGTTGAGACATTCTTGTTACTACTGCGTTGTACTTCCAATAGGTTCTAAACATATTATATATAATTCATTTTTTTAATTTTCATGTTTCATTTTTTGTTAATGGAATTATCACGTATACCTATATGTTTTTCAGTATACTCTTTACTTTAGTTGATTATGACCAGAAAAAATAGAAAAGGAGGTTGATAAAGCAGGAATTGCTAAAACTGTTTCTCAATGAGTAAGTAACAGTTTATATTTACTTACGATTCGTACATGCGACCATATTCTAGAGGCCCAAGTTGTCTTCTGTTGTTCATGAAATATAGCTGAAAAACTTTCTGGATTTATTGACTACATACATTGTTTGTTTTGCGTATACCAAAAGTTTATTAAACATTCAAATACCAATAAGCATGCTTAAAAGATTGATTGTAATATTGAATGGATTAAACATGTCAATGTTTAGCATGCAACCCTGACTTATCAATATTTTACCATACAATAAACCTCAACTTCGGTCTTTTAGACATCGCACTGTGTTCACATAATATAATTATACGAGCTTTATTTTCTCTAAATTGTTACTCTGTCCATTATTTGTAGGATTACACGATTTATACATGTTGCGAAAATTTGGTTACGTATTTGGTGAATTTTTTTGACGTAGTTGTATGTGATCAGGTCAATTTATGTGCGGCAAAATATCGATATTGTTGGCAAAATGCATAACTAAACAAACTACCCTTGTCGCGATGGACGCATACAACATGCACCCACCATATTATTAAAAAGATTTGAAGTTAAGAAAATTTTTATACTTTATTTCCGTTTCCATTGTACATTCTAGAATCGTCTATATTGTTGTTTATACTTCCGCTATGAGCATAGTTATAAGTATACCAATACGGAAAGATTTTTCTCATTGTTTCAGAATGCTGCTCCAAGGCTTTGATGGCCAGTTTTGATCTTTGAATCGAGATAACTCGAATATATCCTGGATTTAATAAAATAAAATATACTTATTTCATTCTGATAAAAATAAAACACTTAAAAAAATAAAATTCATTGATTTATAAAAAATGGCAAATAGCTATGCAAAGATCATCATGACGATATTTTTCAATAATAATCTAAAACAAGAGAGCTATGCCCCAATGTACGGGGACACGGATTGCATAAATAAACGCATAAATAAAAGCCTTCTAGCAAAAAAATACAGCAATTGATCCAGTAATTAATGGGAAAGTTGATTGTTTTTATAACGATAGAAGGAAGAACACCAACAAGAACATCAACAGCATAACAACAAAACGATCCTTAGGTCAATTCCGTGTCCGACAATGAAAAAAATAAAAATAGTAATTCAAAACGGAAAATTCCAGCAAAAGAAATATACCATTTTTTTTTCTGAGAGGGTATCTTTCAGAAAACAACGATTTTAAGTTTCCGCCTGCTTGTTGCAAAAAATTGTTTGCTGTTCTGTAACGAAGATGTGCTCGACTTTCTATATTGTTAATTGGCGTTTCAGAAGAAACATGCCAAATCATGACGTCCTTTGCCTAAAATGTTGAACACTTTTATTACTTTCTTAAAATTAAATTCTGTGTTCATATTTACTTACTTAGTAATAGTTATTAAATAAAAGTATTTTAGAATTATAGACTTTCCTCACTTGGCAGTGTCAGAATGATAGCTTTATTGAATCTACACAAAAATGTTTTTAATTTTAAGAAATTCAGTCTCGTTGATGAAGTCTATGTTCCAAACGTTTTTTTAAGTTTTATAACAGTAAAAAAAAAGTTTCACGGAACTTACATTTAGTGCAAAATAGGCAGAATTTTTGTAGTCATCAAAGGTGCAGTTTTTTACTTCACCGAATACTCTTTTGTTTTCCCAGTTAAGTGAAACTGTAATAGAAATACGACCATATCAAAATTTTCAGACAAAGTTAAGTTATATTATTTAATAAACAAACAAATTTCATACCCAAGGTAGAGTTTTTTTATCAAGACGAATACAAATAAATGTAATGTTTATGATTTATGTTCAATATCATTGATAAAAACTGATGCGACATATTTATGATTTCATTATTTATTTTGAAATTATCTATTGTTTGTAAGGGCGTTCACGGTTAATCAAAAAGGCCCCTGTATGCCATGTTGTATTTTGTGCTGCATTCTACATCAAGACATAATAATAGCATGAACGGTATCATGTGTTCATGTATATGACGAATAATTTTAATGATTACCTAATGCAAAATCAGACCAAAAAAAGTTGAAAACTTGTTTTAATTGTATTAGCATATTTGGACAATTTCCTATCCTGCTTCTATAGTACTTCATGATCATGCGACGCGCTTAAGAAAAAAAGTTAAAGAAAACTTGCCTGATTTTTCCGTAGATAGATCAGCTATGTTAAATCTAAAAATGTCGATCTCTCCTAAAAATAACAACAACTAAATTTGGGAAAGAGTAGGATGGTAAATTTTTTTTAACAAAATTCAATAATATATTTATCCATAAAATAATGTATATTGAAAAAACTGCCTTGATAGTATTCCAAGCATTGAACTAATATATGATCTCTTTTCTTAAACAGATTGCAAATTTCAGTTTATAAAGTTAAGTTAATAGGAATATTTTTATTTCATGATTCTACTAAATGTCCAGGAACACAATAGCATTGTTAAATTATAAGCAAGCATTTTGTTGGACAATTTGGTTGTAAAATATTACTATATTATTTCACTTCAGCTTTTACTAGCTAACTTTGAGTTTTACTGGATTTAAATTTGATGACTATGCTTTTTTATTCCTACCATTAGGTATATAATTTGACCATCTATCTTTGACATCACATTTCTTTGTTATATCTGACTCATGAATACTGGCAACCAGAGTCCAACCACCTCCGTCGGTTTCCATATCACAATATGCCTGTAAAATAAAGATGAAAATAAATGGATTGCAGAAATTCAAATTTAAATGTTCAATAATGTAATATATAATGTTGAATCTTACTTCAATCTCTTTGAAATCTGACTCTGGCTTGATAAAATGGACCCCACTATTTGTGATTCCTTGTACAATCAGTTCTTTACAAGAAGATGCCTTTTTATTTTGCATGGTTGGCGCCGTAAGCTTCGAATAAAATATTTCCCATTAATATTTGTTTCTCTAATTCTCTTTAGTAGGTTGACCTATTTTTTTTTTAAATGTTTTGAATCTGTTGATTGAACTCAAAGTGGACTAAATAATGTTTCTCTGGTTCATGTAGCGGTTGCTACTAGAAAACCTGCATTTTTGTTCAACTGCTGATTCAATGACTACCGTATTTTACGGACCACAAGCCTCACCGGGTTATATGGCGACTGTCAATATACTGCTTAGATTGGGATTTTATGCATACATCAGGCTCGTCGGGCTATAAGGCACAATTTAGTTTATTGTGTAGACATATCACACTACTGGATCCATACATCAGGTGCACCGGCTTATAAGGCGTACGATTGATTTTTGGGAGAAAAAAGTACACCATTTCGTAAAATAAGGTATCCCAACGAAAATCTATGTATATATTCACTCAATAAATTCATCAGTTTGAGTATATTTAATTTTCCTCATCTAATCGCTCATGAATTTTTGAACCACGCGAGATGACTTCATTGTACTCGTTACCTTGCCAAAAAGCAAGCAATATGTGACGTATTTGAACGTTTGACCAGGGTATATAAATATTTTTATGAATACGTAAGCTGTGAGTAAATCTAAAACAAGCCAGGCGTTGAAATAAATTGATTTTAATGGTATCTAATTGTCGCTAGTTCTTAGTACGCAATTTTGTATTTAGGTGACCTATAAGTAACAACAACAAAAAGTATGGAGGTGGTATAAACCAAATAAATATGATACGAATAAACAATATTGTAAAAACTGTAATCTTTATTTCATTGAAATTCCAGGTATTAAAATCTGCCAAAATTAAATACTCCAGATTTATATTATTCTACTACTGCCATACTGTAAACCGCCACCAAACTTTTGCACAAAGGGGTAAACGAAAGGATTTACGATTGTGGACCGGATCAGTGGGGTAACAAGGAAAACTGAAAAAGTTGCTAGTTACACATTTTCACATCGTTGTTTATATTCTTTTATTTTATTCGTCAGAGTGATGTGATCTTTAAGTCTGTAAACACTTTGATCCGTTTCGCCAATTTTTCCGAGCTGCCGGCAAGTAGATATTTTGCGCGAAATGTACATCCTGCTGAAACTAGTTGCAAAAATTCTCTCACAATAGTAACGTTACCGATGTCTTGCTATATTTGTTTTTGTTAATGTTAACAATATGCGTGACAGTGACGGAAACCACTGGATTGATTCTTTAGCCAAAAATCGAGCACAACAAAAATAGAAATACTTGTTTAATAAAATATTTCTAGACAAATGAAGTTTATTATATAAGTGGATTTTTTCAAATAATATTTCATCGTTAGAAGCGAAGTGTGGAAGGGGAGTGCACCACCCCCGCTGACCGCATGTAGTGTGAAATGGCAAATTATATGTCGTAAACTGCAAACATTCACCGTAAAAGCGATATTTATTGCATAAATAGTTTCACGCCTAATAAATGCATACAATTTTTTTTAACTGGTTTAGATTTTATTGCGCACCAAAATTAATATCTGAATAGTCCACTTGATAACGCCAAATTGGATGGGTAAATTTAATATTGTTGTTATTATAAATATATCATAATAAATATATTTATGAATAAGTATATTGTTATTATATTTGGGTTTTATATACCCTCCGCAAAATTAATGTTTTTTATCGTTGTGTGTTCATAAATAGTCATCACATTTCAATTTCGAATTTTTGCCCATTCAAAACACATTTATAAATATGAACACCAACCTTTTGGTATGATAAGCTTTGAAGTGTTGACGATGCAATAATTAAGATAACGGATAGGATTGTCAATGCAGCAAGAGCAAATATCCACTTTTTCAGAGATTTGTGTGAACTGGTATCAGTTGATAATAACGAGTTGATGGGGGTAGGAGTTGGTTGTGTCCTGCTGTATGTATTTCGATCCAATGGCTGCAAACTTCGAGGTGGTGGAAGATCACGCCCAGTATTGGATTTATTTATAGATGCCATTTTCAGGTATGGTCCAGTTTGACTGTCACGGCGAGAAATACTGACCACTGTAAATGTATGGATAAAAAAATAAAATCCAAATTTTTTGGAATCTATATCACACTTATGTCGTTTAATAAAATACAAATCACGGAAGAATTCTATATATATATATATATATCAAATGTAACCATGCCGAGGTTTATTTTTAAAATTGTATATAATATGCCGTTATTTAAATTTTATTATATTTTTTTTATTCATAAATGTTTAGTTTATAAATGAATAAAATTAATTATTCGATTGTACTGGTAGTAGATGCTTTGAAATGTAAAATTAATAGTATATTTAAAATAGTATATTCAATGGTTTGAATAGCTTTTGCATCGTACTTTTTGATGTCGTTATGCTGGTATTAAGTTTTACATGACACCTTACCGTCTGATCTATTCTTATATCGCATGGCACATTCATAAGCGTTACCATCATCTTCGGATTGCCACATTTTTTTCACTTTATTAAAATGCTCGAATCATCAAATTCCCAAAAACTGCCTTGAAAAAGAATTTTAATTTGACATTACATTATACTCTAGCTGTTAAACGTCAACTGAATGTAGGATATGCTTGCACCAATGCTTTAAAACCTCTTTTGACCCTAAAAAGCAAAACAAATGTGGTTGAAAAAACGTGTGGAAACGTTATGTATAAATGTCTCATTTTGATACGCACGTTGACTCAATATAAAACAGATTAGACAACCCCGATTGGAACAACACAAATTATGAATACTCAAAATTCATAACATAACCAAGGTGATGATGCATCCTCTCACAAACAAAATATCTGCAATTCCAGCTTTCATTAGGAATATCGATCTTTTAATTTAAAAAATAATGTTATTTGCCATAAAACGGTTGATTTTTTCTTTATAACATGGACACCGTCATCGTAATAGTGTTTAAGCCAGTTATTAAGACTTACTTATTAAGACTCCGGTATCAAGATGTAAGCTTTTGTTACATATCATTGATTTCAAGAATAAAATTACCTGTTCTCTAATTTTCCTTCAATATTTTATCATATTTTCAATCATTCTGTGCTATGGGCAAAACAGGTCGTCAGCATATTGTCATGCCCGATGAATCACATTGGGAAATGATGATGTGTTGACTTAGATGGGTCAAGAACAAGTTCAATCAGAGGGCATTGTTGAATTTATTTTTCATTAGGGTATTGTTCTAAATTTACTGTATGGTGAATTTTAACAGTTGCCAATCTTTACCCATTTATACCCGAGTTTAACTTTGCATTTCATTGTTATGTAGCGTCTGCACAAATGATATTGGACAAAATAGGGAGGCTATCATTATACTCATCAATTTGCTTTGTTATTACTGTATATTACATTCTACACAAACAAAGTACTCGCTTTTCTATATTTTTGTGTCGAATGTTTATTTATTGTATTTTATCCAGGCTATATAGGCTAAGTATATTATATAAATGTATGTAAAAACTGTTCCAATAACTTAATATCAATAAAAAACAAATTTGTGAAGTCAGAGTGTAATCTTCACCTAAATTTCAAAAGCAGTGACAAGAAACACTGACCTATAACTAAATTTGAATTGTACTACACATTCGGTGTGAAACTGGTTACAAAGAAGTGGTGGACAAATTTTATAGGAATCTTTTATCATGTTGTGAAATCGCCTAAAGTACCATCGAGCTTGCCAATAAACGAACTTTTCATTTGCTAAAACAAAATTCGCCAATCAACACACAATATAAATTTTTTTGTCTTCACTTATTTTGGAACGTTTTGACGAATATATGATTTTCGACTAGTGCGTAGATCTTGTTGTCAGAATGAAGAGATCGGAAACAATCGAAACGATTACTGAAGTTACTAATTACTAATAATTGCTAATAATTACTAAAAATATGAAACGTGAACGGCCCATATAAATATATATCAAATCAAACCCGCTATAGCTAGAAAATACCTATTAAATCAATAGGACAATAAGCCAGTCCATTATTCTTCATCACTCAATTTTATCACTTTCATCTGTATATATATATATATCCAGTTCTTGTATTCAAAAATTCTAAGATCGAGTTAGCCTTTGTACTAAACTCACTAATTATACAATATGTTCCCCAATTTCCGGGAATGTATGATGGGCATTACATAAATCTAATATATAACTTTCGAAACACTAAATATAACGTTAGTCGTCAGCTGCAATGCGCTCTACCTACCAGTCTAAAATCCAAAAATTAACTACGACATTCCATGAACAGCCTGTCTCAAACCTTATAATTTCCATCAGTGTGTATATACCATAATTAATATTACCATTATTACCGAACTATATTATCGAATTATTGACTACTTTCATCGACAATAAGTAAAAAAGAGTTTTTTGTCTTGAAAAATGTATTGGGGAGTGGTAGTCGTGAATCACAATTTTGATATTATAGCATTATTCAAAAGAAATAACCCCCAAAAAATGTATACCCCCTTGATATGCGAATTTTTGGCAAATGAAAAGTTCATGTATTGGCAAGCTTGAGAGTACTTTACAACAGAAAAAAAGAAGAGGTATTCAAATTTATTCTACTATGTTCTAAAAACTAACTTTACAATTAAATTTTTTTGAGCAGTGTTTCTTTTGACATAATATGAAGTGCAGAATATTTTTGAATGACTCTCCAAATATCTAAAATATTGATTTGAAGAATATTTTAATTTTTAAACTATGAACTATCATTATTTTATAATAATTTGATGTCAAATAATTTTATTTACTCTAGGTATATGAGTAAGTAAGTATACGTTTCAAACCTCAAAACTAGTTACCTCAATAACAATAGTGAATTAATAGAATTTTATTTCAAGTTACTCTACTTCAAAATTTATGTTAAGATAACTTTTCCAATTAACACTGATATATAATCTCACGTATTTAATAAAGTATAGGTTGCGGATGTAATATGCATTATTATAATTTCAATTGACGGGTAATAACAGCGGTTCTTATTTCAAAATAATTTTGTTGGAATATAATGTGTACAATATGTCGATACCACATAACCTTAAAGCATATGTATGATTGACATATCCCAACCTACGACAAATTTTAAACGCCACCTTTATTAAAAAGAATTCTATAATCTATTCTCAGTCAGAAATTTACACTACGGTTGAACTCGGTATTGACCCATCCATGTCAACACATTACTTTCGTTCCTCTATTTTTGCTATATGATTCATGGATCATGACCGTGTGACGACCGTGTTTGTCCGCACGTGAGAAGGAATAAAATTATTGTGAAAATGAAGTGCAAGTATGTTTTATACCACGGGTGTGCTACATGTATTACTGGGGGCCCCAGATACACAGTACATTGATTACGTCATAGGCGAAGATAATAAATAGAATTTAGATATAGGCTTCAAAACGCCAAAAGATTAAAATTACTGGCACAAACTAGATGAAACTAAATTCAAAATTCATTTTTCGGGACGCAAACCATTCAAAATTGGCATTTCTCCACGGGTCGCACAATTTTTTCTTGTGGCACCGCATTGGGCCCGCGGGTCGCAGGAAGAAATACGGAAAAATATTTACATTATATACCTTGGTTTTTCATTTATCTGACATGGATTAACTTCTTTGGGTGTACATAAAGACTGAATTGAGCATTTAGTATATTTGTTTATATTACCTATATTTATATTTGGCGTTGCCTTTCTCATCAAGATTATATTGAATGCGAGTGAAAAATTGTGACCTAAATACACGATGTTTTCATTTCTATTTATTTTTAGGTCACACGTGGCTAAAACGATTTTGCAACACTATTTACATTTAGTTGACAGTCAACAGAAAGAGTTAGCTGTCGTTCTCAATTTCTTGAAACCAAAAGAAATTTGGGTTGGTTTTAAATTTGTTTACGATTCAAGCTTTTTGGATACGATGAAAAAAAATGTGGCAATCCGGTGATGATGCTAACGCTTATGAATGTGAAATGCGGTATAACGATAGATCCGAAAGTAAGGTACTATATAGAATTTAATAAATAAATAGTAACATGAGATAAAAAAAAACGTTGCAAAGCTTTAAAAAAAGTTTTAAACCAATTTTACACTCCTACGGATGTTGTGGTAGAACAATTGAATATGTAAGTAATTATATTTATTGATAACCAAGATACATTGCAAACAATAAGAAAATGTATCAAAATTTAAATAACGCAACTTGTAAAGTGTTTTAATAGTTGAGAAATTTTTAGCGAATTTTTCCGTGATTTACAATTCAATGAACGAAACGAGTCTGACGTAAAATTTCAAACATTATTTTTCATACTTTTTCAGTGGCCAGTATTTCTCGTCATGAAAGTGAAACTGGACCGTATGTTAAAATGTCATCAACAAAGCAATTTAATACTAGACGTCATTTTTCACCCCCTCTGCCTTTGCAGCCATTGGATAAGAATACATTCAGCCGATCATAACCATCCCCTATCCCTGTCAACTCGTCCTCATCAACTAATGTCATTTGGCAAAAATCATTGAAAAAGTGGATCTTTGTTCTTGCAGCATTGTCATTTATATCCGTTGTCTTAATTATTGGATCGTCAACCCCTCAAGGGCTATTGTATCACCAGGTTGGTGTTTATATTTAAATGTGTGTTACAAATGACATATTTATTTATTTAAAAATATTGATACTATATTTGAGAATATCTTCAACCTCACTAATACCGATTTCATTATCTGTGTGAATATTTAGGTTTTCTTTCGTAAATGAACTAAATGCAATTTAAAATATATATAATTTTTTACATATAGTCAAATATATAATCTCATATCGTCCCGCAAGTTACGGGCTCTTGCATTGATTCAGAAAAGGCTGCCACCATATATTTTTTGCCGAGTCGAGTCACATTTTTTTTTACTGAATTTCACAACGCCGAAGGTTCAAGATGTTTTCATTAATTGTAAACTTATTTTAATTTCCAGTAAGAATATTGACAGCTATCAATTACAAGCGTGATATTCCTATATCGATCTTGTCCCAATTTTTTTTTTAATCTGTCTGTACTTTTGTATTGGTATAACACATTTACGTATTGCATTGTTTCACCTACCAATGTTAACAAAATTATTAAGTATTTCGTTTTTCATTGTTTCATATGATTCATTTAATGATGAAAATTTTTTATAATTTATTGTCATGAAATTGCAATCATTAAATTATAAAAATGCGAGAGGTAATATTTCAAAAACGAATTTCAATTAAAAGCAATAAGGTCACTAATGACCCGGCGTGTCCTTTGTTTCGTTTTGTACGTCATTATAAAAACATTCATTGAAACTGGCTGACAAACGCTGTCACGCCATACGCCATGTCAAAGGTTTAACAATAGCATGCTTTGTTATTTTATTTGGATCGGAGATACTGCAGGAAATGAATTCAATTTGACCTTTCTTAATAAGACAGAAAAATGAAGAAGTTCATGAACAATCAGGGAATATTATATAACTCAACCCGTGAATATTATCA